AAAAAAAGACGGAGCTGTCAGTTTTCCCTGTTTACATTTTCGGGTCCTAAGGCCGTCTGCCATTGGTTGATATTCTCTAAACTACAACCTGATTGGTTCATCAGCTAGAGTTATCCCGCAAGTTGCCTGAGCAGAGCGACAATTAAAATACAAGTTTGTGAAAATATATGATCAAACCAGAGCTGCCAACAAATTTTCCCGGACTCTATAGAATTGTTTAATATCACACACAAAAAACTGTGTACTCTATCGATGGAGATCGATCAACAACACGAAAAACGCATTCGGCCCACCGTCTACTGAGAGAGGCTGCTCTCTGAGGCAGTCTGAGCGCTCATACACACGTTTATGGTGTCAGCGTTCATAAACACATGAGGGCTGACACCGCTGTCATCTAGTGGACCTCAGTCACATTCAACTGGGCTCTATATTAAAACATCGACTACGGGTCTTTAAACTACGGATGAAAACACTACGTTCTGTGACAAAACAACAGCAACATATAGGTATGGCTTACAATTGTGCGCCTTTCCCTCACTTGTCATTTTCTGATGATTGTTGCGAAATGCATGCTGGGATATCTGGCTGTCTGAAGTCCACACAAGTCTGCTCCGATGCATCCCCGATGAAATGGGTGTGGCGAGAACACATCCGGGAATTTGGACTGAACTTGGCCAGATGTGAACTTTGAATTGGAACAGTACTTGGGCTGTGACTGATGACGTGTCACAAGTCCACAAGAACACATGTCCGCACAAGAACGCATATAACAAGGCTATTCAAGAGAAGGCTGAGACACGGGGTCAAACATGGGGGGATTGCACATGCGCAGTGTAACTTAAGCTGCGATGCTGGAGGGTGACAGCAGGGGCGCTAAATAAAAAACGCAGGATCCGCTCAGGTGATCAAGTAGTGTGCTTGGTGCGGTCAACTTGGACTTTTGGACGGCGGCTGCCTGAAGTTGTCGGAATTGCATCTCTGTCATTCTCACCCACAACACAGGCCACTAGTGACAGTCCAGTAATAAGCTGTGAAAATGACATGCATGCAGGATGTTTGTTTCATGGTCAATTTGTATTTTTGGTTACATTTGGGAATTTATGAATGATTTGAAAATGTTTGTTTTTGCAATAGAATTTAACTATTTTGGCAAAACTGATAATCTGCTCTGGTTTATCAGCAAAATATATTGTGATAATATCTAGTGTTACACTGAAGGATGATTCTCAGAATCAAAACCAATGACAACAGCCCTAGTCCTTTACCAGAGGCATTAGTTAAGGTTAGCTACTTTATTAAGGAAGAAAAACAAATTAAAATGATGTTGAAAAAAGAGCTTATTGACACATTTTGACATATTCCAGTATTCAAATATTCACAGTTTCATTATTGTCTTGATGTCACACACCGCAAAACACAGGAACAACTGCAGGACAAAAATGATTTATTTTGCGTTTTCACACACAAACAGTCACCACACAAAATGAACTAAAAGTCTGAGGAAGAGCTTTGTGCTGGAAACATCACACAGCAAAACAAGAGGTATTTGATCTGGCTCCATTTTGTTGGTTCTGGGATATGTGCATGCATGTCATTTTCACAGCTTATTATTGGACTGTCACTGGTGGCCTGCGTTGTGGGTGAGAATGACAGAGATGCAATTCCGACAACTTCAGGCTGCCGCCGTCCAAAAGTCCAAGCAGAGGGCACCAAGCACACTCCTTGATCGCCTGAGCGGATCCTGCGCTTTTTATCTAGCGCCCCTGCTGTCACCCTCCAGCATCGCAGCTCAAGTTACACTGCGCATGTGCAATCCCACCATGTTTGACCCCGTGTCTCAGCCTTCTCTTGAATAGCCTTGAGAACAACAAGGAAGCAGCAGAAGGCGTTAGTCTTTATTTGTCCCGAACCACCAGTGTGTGACTATTATGATGTTGGTTCCAATGTAGGCCTGAGTGACACGGTTAACCAGCTGCTGACAGACCAAACTCCAGTGTTTAAAGGAGGCAGAATGGCAGACGAAGCTCCTTTCCAGTTTTTACATAACGAAGTGATGCAGTACATTTACAAGTCAGCTGAAAACGGAGAGACGGTAAGACAGTTCATGTTTTTCTCCTCGGCGGGTTAAGGACCTGAACAATTTGTGGTCGTAAAATGTTTTGTTCATAAGTTTTTCTGTCATTCACTCAGGAGAATGGAAGAAACATCGCCAAACTGGAGAATATGGGATTCAGAGTCGGCCAAGGGCTAATAGAGAGGTAATAAGCTAACTGCTGCTAAACTGTGTACCTCTTTTAAGCTCTCACTTGTCCTACTGCAGTCAAGTGAGCCGTCGTTCGTCATTTCGTGCTCAGACCAGCCGCACCAACATTTCAAGTGGGCCCGTATTACACAATGTATGGCAAATGCACGTAGTCCACTGATACGGAGCGAGCAAACTTCCGGTTCTCAAAATAAAACGCCAGTTATTCAAAGGCAGTAAAAACAGACATGCCAATGTGATCCGAAGCTGATTTTCAGCCATTAGGCCACATAGTCTAGAAGCATTTGAACTAAAATGCTAATATTTTCTTATGAAAGGGCCTGATGCTTTCATACAAATTTCTGACAATGGATGACATTTTGCACCTCAAGACTACGTTGACTACTCACTGACTCAGTATCAAACATTTTGCATGTATCATTTTAGAGAAATTAAGCATTGAAGTTAGTTGTTTTGCATTGAAAAAAGGCATTATGCGCGATATTTACCGTAAAATCCCTTTGATCCAATCCATAATTTCTGACAAAGGTTGATACACTTGACCTCAGGACCATTCTGACTGTTCACTCACTAAGTATCAAGCATATTTACTGTATCATTATTGAGAAATTCAGCCTCAAAGTTCCAATTTTTGCATTGAAAAAAAGGCCTTATGCTCAATGTTTACTCTACTGTAAAAATCTATTTGATCCATAATTTCTGACAAATGTTGATACACTTGACCTCAGGACTATCCTGACTGTTCACTCACTAAGTATCAAGCATATTTACTGTATCATTTTTGAGAAATTCAGCCTCATTCCTTTTTTTTGCATTGAAAAAAAGGCATTAATGCGCGATATTTCTCAATAATGATACAGTAAATATGCTTGATACTGAGTGAGTGAACAGTCAGGATGGTCCCAAGGACAACTGTATCAACCTTTGTCAGAAATTATGGATCAAAGGGATTTTACAGTAGCGTAATAATTGAGCATAAGCTTAATTTCTCTAAAATGATAAATGCAAAATGATACTGAGTCAGTGAGTAGTCAGCATAATCTTGAGGTGCCAAATGTCATCTATTGTCAGAAATTAGTATGAAAGCATCAGGCCTTTTCATAAGAAAATATTAGCATTTTAGTTCAAATGCTTCTAGACTATGTGGTCTAATGGCTGAAAATCAGCTTCGGATCACATTGGCATGTCTGTTTTTACTGCCTTTGAATAACCGACGTTTTATTTTGAGAACCAGAAGTTTTCTCGCTCCATATCAGTGGACTACATGCATTTGTCATACATTCTGTAATACGGGCGCACTTGAAATGTTGGTGTGGCTGGTTTGACCACGAAAAGACGAACGACGGCTCACTTGACCGCAGTCTTGTCCCCTGGGTTTATCCCAATATCCCTCCTCTACTCTTCGATCATTTGACCCGGAAATCGATTGAGACTCGCCATCTTGTAGGGCATCTCAGTTCCTCATATGCACTTGTAGTGGGGCAGCATAGCTCAATATTTTTCTAGAATCGTTCAATTTTGTGATAAAAGCACCAAATTTGGCAGATGTGTTGACAAATATATTTAGAACAAATCTGGATATTGGGGCATCAGAAACTCGCCCCCTGGTGGCCAGAGCAGGCAATTGAATCCTACCTGCCCATGGACCCGTCCCATTAATTGGATCCACTCCAAAATGTAATGGCTTCTAAGTTGGACCATGCTACATGCCTCTACCAAGTTTTGTGAAAATCGGTTGGCACGTAATCCTCATCCAACAAATGAATGGAAGTGAATGGGCGGCCACGTGTGGGCAGCCCGTGGACATGCCCCCTGAGTTGGATCAACACCAAAATTTAATATATTCTAAGTTGGCATGTCCCTCCACCGAATTTTGTGAAAATCGGTCAGGCAGTGCCAGTTTTTGTATAATTCTGCCAACAAACTAATAAATTGGGGAGCATAGCTAAAAAATTGTTAATTTTTGCGATAAAAGCGCCAAATTTGGTACATTTATAGCTTAATATACTGGAATAGAACACTTTGGTCACCACCCCAATCTGCTGTTACCATGTTTTCAGCACCACAAATATAATTTAGAGATAGGGATGGGGCCGATCCGATCCAGTATCGGTATCGGGTTCCGATACCAACGTAATGCACGGATCGGAAATTTCCAATCCACCTGCAGAAATTTCTGATCCACAAGACGCGTCTGTGCTTTCAAGTTGTCTGCTGGAATGATATGATGATTGCTACATAGTAGTGTTGCACTGACCGAGGTACTAAAACATGACAGTACATATGATACCATAATGTTGGAGTTCTGTAGTACTACGTACCTCAGGTACCACTACTGTGGGATAAGATCAAAGTCCAATTGCAAGAGCGTGAGTGTCCATGCTGCGTCCAATAACGGCATGCGCTGTCCACCTGGCACTCAGTATGCTGCTGCAGTGGTTTGTATCCAGTGACATTTCAGATATGAACTGAGCTATTGAGTGTCTTTAAGCAGTGAAAGTTATTATTAATTTCTTTTTACTTGTAGGATCGATTTGTTTATATATGCTACAGTGATTTGTTTTCCACAGAGCTTTATGTGCGAGCATTTTACTCGCATTTGCGACTAAAAATAGTTTTGTGCACGCAAAATAAATCGGGGGGGCGGGGGGGGGCA